AAAAAAAAAAAAAACCCACTTAAATGCTGAAAGGTATATTGGCCCACCAGTAAGCCCAACCTCAGAAGGCAAAGAAAGGAATATCCCTAGAGTGATCTGGCCAGAAAGACTAGCCACATCAGCAAGCTGTAGGTTTGACTGAGAGACCTTGTCTAAACAAGGAAGATGGAAGACTGATGATTCTCAACATTAATCTCGGGCCTCCACATGCATGCACACACCATGTGAGAAAAATAGAAAAAAAAAAAAAAAACCAAGCAAGCCAGCTGGGTATGTTAGCACATGCCTGTAATCCCACATTAGAGTCTAATCTGGATGACATGTAAGACCCTGTGCAAAAAAAAAAAGGACTGGAGAGAGGACTCGTGGCTGCGAGCACACACTGCACCCCCATCTTCATGGGAATCTAATGCCTCTGGCCTCCATAGGCACCTGAACTCACAACTCATAAGCACATACACACTGGTGTACACACACACACACACACACTTAAAAATCAATAACCTTAGGGGGTAATGGGGAAATATCCCTGAAAGCAGAGAACTGCAGTTGAACAGGGCTCCCTGGGCCCTGCTGGAGCCCAGGGTGGGTGCAGTGGAGGGAGAAAGGGCCTGACTTGCAGTCCAGGAGAAAATGCAGCCTGAGCAGACAGGAACTGATGGGTGTGGAAGAAGGCTAGGCCAGACTGACAGGCTGACAGGTACAGGAAGTGACAGGACTGGGAAAGCATGGAGGAGCTTTAGACAGAAGGTCCAACCTCCATCCCACTCACGTCAAGTCCTCCTGCCTCAACTTCTGGAGTTCTGGCATTGCATGCATGTGCCACCACACCTGGCTTCCAAGGCATTTGTTAATGGTGATGAACATGGGACCAAGCGTCGCAGGATGTGGTCCTGCGCCAGGTCTGCCAACTGGCAATGCATGCCGTCCCTGGCCCATCCAGCACTCGGTTTGTGTTGGGATAGCTGATTTGGGGGAGTTTCAGCTGCTCTTGAAAAATGAGACTATCTGGGAACACTGGCCTTCGTTCCACTCTCCAAGACAAATGACAGCTGGACCAGATGCAGCGACACCTTTATACAGACTGGGGCCAAAGCCCTTCACACCCTTTCCTCTGCCGTGGCATCCGAGTTTGCAGTCCTTGCCCTTCAGTTCACATATGCAGCCGGGTCTCCAGGGCTCTGGTGGCTCCAGCCCCTCCTTTCCCTGATCAGTGAATGCCCACCAAAGTCCCAGCAAGAGCCAGGAATCCAGCTCTGAGAACAATGAACCTCGTCTAGCTGCAGTAAGTAGGCCCAAGGTCACATTAGCCTTTTTTTTTTGGCAGAGCCTTTACCCTAGTGATTTACTGAGCTTCCTCCAACCACAAAGCCCCCACACTTCTTGGCACAGGACTGGAAACTGAAAATAACAGCAACACCGTCCCACAGAAGTCCAGCCTCACCGAGTCCTTTCTCAGGCACTGATTCTAAACCTTCCCAAGGCTGAGCAAAGGCTACTGCACCCACTCTACATATGGGACCTGGAGCCCAGATGCTCTCAAACTACCAAGAGATCGAAAGCAAGTCTCCTTACCTGAGCTGGAGGAGAGCTAAGCAGCCAGGATCATAGCAAGCCTGCCATTTGTAAGCTGAGGGTCAGAACAAAGGCATTGAGGACGGTTGAGACAGATTGGCCTGGCCTGAATTTGATTTAGGCTTCGGCAGGTGATTTAGTCTCATAGAACCCATAATTTCACCATCTGTAAAATGGGGGTAATACCCATCTCAGGTCAGGTGTGATGGCACCTTAAGCCCAGCATACAGGAGGCAGAGGCAGGTGGACCTCTGTGGGTTCCAGGCAGCTTAGTCTACAAAGTGAGTTTCAGGACAGTCCAGGCTATATAGAAACCCTGCCTAAACTAATAATAATTTAGTACCTATTTTACAGACCATTGTAAAGATTCGGGAAGACGCTGCATGTAAGAGGCTTAACATGGTAGTGCTGGGTATGCAGTAGGTGCTCAATAATTGTCAAA